GGTGCCCCTGAAGGCATGGCCCCTGCACTCTATATCAGCCCAGAACTAAAACAGTTTCTGAGGCCAACTCTTCAGACAGGGATTGGACTTGTCTGTGGGACATGAAGTGATACTCGTGAAGAGTGTGCCTCTTAGTCAAGTAGATACAAGAGACCAAAGGGGCAGCTTCTGTCCAGAGGTGAGATGGGAAGGCAGAGTTAGGACCTGGTTGAATGGTCATGGGGAATCAGAGGTGGAAAGGAGGAGTGTGCTGTCACAGAATGGGGTGAGCAATTAGGGTCATATAACTATGTATAAATTTTTGTATGGGAGACTGACTTGAAATGTATACTTCATCTAAACCACAACAATAAAAAAAAAAATGGAGAAAAAAGAAAATACAATGACTTGGGTCAGGCACACCATAGTCCTTAAAGTGACATCTTTGCTTTTTAACACTTCAAAGAGGTCTTTTGCAGCAGATTTGCCCAATGCAGTACATCATATGATTTCTTGACTGCTCCTTCCATGGGCATTGATTGTGGATCCAAGTAAAATGAAATCCTTGACTACTTCAGTATTTTCCCCATGTATCATGATATTGCTTATGGGTCCTGTTGTGAGAATTTTTGTTTTCTTTATGTTGAGTTGTAATCCATACTGAAGGCTGTAGTCTTGGATCTTCATCAGTAAGTGCTTCAAGTCTTCTTTGCTTTCAGCAAGCAAGGTTGTGTCATCTGCATATCACAGGTTGTTAATGAGTCTTCCTCCAATCCTGATGCTGCATTCTTCTTCATATAGTCCAGCTTCTCGGATTATTTGCTCAGCATGTAGACTGAATAAGTATGGTGAAAGGATACAACCCTGATGCACACCTTTCCTGATTTTAAACCATACATTATCCCCTTGTTCTGTTTAAATGACTTCCTCCTGGTCTGTGTACAGGTTCCGCATGAGCACAATTAAATGTTCTGGATTTCCCATTTTTCACAATGTTATCCATAATTTGATATGATCCATGCAGTGAAATGCCTTAAAACACAGGTAAACATCTTTCTGATATTCTCTGTTTTCAGCCAGGATCTATGTGACATCAGCAGTGATATCCCTTGTTCCACATCCTCTTTTCAATCCAGCTTGATTTCACAGCAGTTTCCTGTTGATGCATTGCTGCATCGTTTTTGAATTATCTTCAGCATAGTTTTACTTGCATGTGATATTAATGATACTTTTCAATAATTTCTGCATTCCATTGGATCATCTTTCTTTGGAATGGGCACGAATATCGATCTCTTCCAGTCGATTGGCCAGATAGCTATCTTCCATATTTCTTGGCGTAGATGAGTGAGCGCTTCCAGTGTTGCATCTGTTCGGTGAAACATCTCAGTTGGAATTCCATCAGTTCCCAGAGCCTTGTTTTTCACCAACTGCCTTCAGTGCAGCTTGGACTTCTTCCTTTAGTGTCATCAGTTCTTGGTCATATGGTACCTCCTGAAATGGTTGAATGTCAACCAATTCTTTTTGGTGCAGTGACTCTTTGTATTCCTTCCATCTTCTTTTGATGCTTCCTGCATCATTCAGTTTTTTGCCCATGTTGTTAGGTGCCTTCGAGACAGTTCCAACTCATAGTGACCCTGTGTACAACAGAACAAAGGGCTGCCAGGTCCTGTGCCATCCTCACAGTCATTACTATTCTTCAGCCTATCATTGCAGCCAGTGTGTCAGTCCATCTCATTGAGGGTCTTCCTGTCTCATTGCCCATAGAATCCTTCAGTATTGCAACTTGAGGCTTGAATTTTTTCTTCAGTTTTTTCAGCTTGAGAAATGCTATGTGTGTTCTTTCCTTTTTGTTTTCTTACTCTGGGTCTTTGCACATTTAATTATAATACTTAGTCTTCTCGAGCCATTCTTTGCAATCTTCTCTTTAGCTCTTTAATTTCATCATTTCTTCCTTTTGTTGTAGCTAGTCTGTGTTCAAGAGCAAGTTAGAGTCTCTTCAGACATCTATTTTGGTCCTTCCTGTCTTTTTAATGACCTTTTGCTTTCTTCACGTATGATGTCCTTGATATCATCCCACAATTCGGCTAGTCTTCAGTCATTAGTGTTCAGCACATCAAATCTGTTCTTGAGATGGTCTCTAAATTCTGGTGGGATATACTCAAGATTGTACTTTAGCTCTCTTGGACACATTTTAATTTTCTTCAGCTTCAAATTGAACTTGTATATTAGCAGCTGATGGTCTGTTCCACAGCTGGCCTTGTTCTGACTGACGATATTGAGCTTCTCCATTGTCTCTTTCCATAGATGTAGTTGGTTTGATTCCTGTGTATTCCATCCATCTGGCAAGGTCCACATGTATGGTTGCCGTTTATGTTGTTGAGAAAGGTATCTGCAGTGAATAAGTCGTTGATCTTGCAAAATTCTATCATGCAATCTCTGGCATCGTTTCTATCACCAAGGCCATATTTGCCAACTACCAGTCATTCTTACTTGTTTCCAACTTCCACATTGCAGTCACCAGTAATTATCGATGCATCTTGATTGCGTGTTTGATCAATTTCAGACTGCAGAAGTTGGTAGAATTCTTCAATTTCTTCATCCTTGGCGTTAGTGATTGATGCGTAAACTTGAATAGTAGTTGTATTAACTGGTCTTCTTGTAGGCGTATTGATATCATCCTATCACTGACAGCAGGATACATCTTGAAATGTTCTTTTTGATGATGAATGCGATGCCATTCCTCTTCAATTTGTCATTCCTGGCATAGTAGGCCATATGATTGTCTGATTCAAAAGGGCCAATACCAGTCCATTTCAGCTCACTATTGCCTAGGATATCGATCTTTATGTGTTCTTTTTCATTTTTGAGAACTTCCAATTTTTGTAGATTCATACTTTTTATATTCCACATTCCAGTTACTCATGTATGTTTGCAGCTGTCTTTTCTCATTTTACGTCATGCCACACCAGCAAATGAAGGTCCCAAAAGCTTGACTCCATCCACATCATTAAGGTCGACTCTATGCTGAGGAGGCAGCTCTTACCCAGTTGTCTTTCGAGTGCCTTCCAACCTGAGAGGATCATCTTTATAAACTGATAGTAGAGGCTAATTTCCTGTAAACTGTTGGATCAGGTTCAGTTTTTAGATCAGAATACTTTATGCGCTGCTTTGTATTTCCTAATGATTCGCATTAGGAGGCACATGCTTTCTGTCCTAAGTCTGGTGATATTAAGGTTGGTAAGTGGGTTCAGGTGTTATCAGCCTAATCAAGCTGATCATTATAAAATTATCCATCAGCCTTTCATCTAATGGTTTTTTGCTGCCATTGATTATCATTGCACGGATCTGTTTTTTTCATTAGGAGTTACAAAATGGTGACTTTCTGATCCTGTCATTCTTTATGTATTACCCATGATTCTTCAATAAAAGCTTTTCCTCTTTAGGAAAAGCAGGAGAAATGCTGATCTTTTTTTTTTTTATTATTAATCCATTTGTAGAATGACGTGGTTTCCTGGCAATCTTGAAATGTCACCAGAATGAATTTTTTTAGTGTCATTCGGAAAGTTTGGATTCTTACGTATTTGATAAGCTTGAGTCGCTACTCTTTTTGATACTCCTTGTCCCTGATCACTGGGAACCTTTTATAGCTGGTACCTTTTATCTTTTTTGACATCACCCCAGTAGTTTTTCAGAGTTTCCTACCATTTGAATATGACACGTCCCGGGCTTATCTTACACATTTTCTGACCCAGGCCTGAAATAAGTTCATGAATATGAGAATTCATAAGAAATGAATCATGAATGAAAGGTAGGGCACTTTCAAAGATTACTTGTTATTTAGGGTAACAAGGTTTTTATTTTCAGTTCTTTGATTTTGTGTTTGTATTTTTTTTTTTAATGCTGAAAAATGTAAACATATGAACTTTTTTGCCTCATGATACATTGATATACATACACACACACACACATCAGAATAACAAGACGAACATTGCCACTAACACATGACTACTGGATGCAGTTTTAAGATTTCCTTGAGGTTCTTTTTGTCTTTAGAGTATATTCCACCAGTGATATACTTGACATAATTCTTTTATGTGTGATTAACCCACCAACTTGATATACAAATAGGTTTATTTCTGTTTTTATTATTGTTTTCTGGAATTACTTTTTTGATTGTAAAAAGCACTTAAATGGTTCCCAGGTCAAAATATGTACCTTTCAGGGTACACAGAGGTCTAGATTCCACTTCTGTCCTTTCCCCCCATTCTCTCCCTTTCTTTACGGATAGTCATTTTTATTAGTTTTTATCCATTGCTTCTTTTTAAAATATAAGTAAATGCATATGTTTATTCCTATTTCCACCCTTTCTTACACAGAAAGGAGCATATTGTATATATTCTTCTTCCATTGTCTTTTTTTTTTTTAACTATATCCTGGAGTCACTTCCATAGCACTATATAGACAGCTTCTTTGTTCCTTTTATTAGCTACATGGTACTCTGTTGTATGAATGTACTATAGTTTATTCAGTCAATCCTTTATTGATGATCTTTAGGATATTTGTACTGTCTTGCTATTAAATGGTACTTTGAAGAATAACTTTAAGAAGGTTTTTTCCCCTTTTCTTGCCAGATTGTATTTGAGTTTACTGGATCAAAGGATAAACATATATATATATATATAATTTTGCTATAGAATGCCAGTTCCCCTTTTTAAGGGTTGTATTGTACCCTTTTTCACTCCTAGCAGCCTCACTGGCAAATATTTGGATTTTATCAGGCTGATAAATAAGAAAGGATAGCTCAGTGCAGTTTTAATTTGCATTTCTCTTATTTCACATTTTTTTTGTTTTATTTAATTAAGCATCATAAGCATTTTCCATGTCCCTAGTCTTCTGAATATTTAATTTGTTTTTGTTGTTATTTGCTGTCAAGTTGATTCCAACTAATAGCAACCCCATGTGTGCAGAGTTGAACTGCTCCATAGGGTTTTCAAAGCTGTGACCTTTCAGAAGCCGAGAGCCCAGGCCTGTCTTCTGAGGCACCTCTGGGTGGGTTCAAACCATCCTTTGGTTAGTAGTTGAGCCACCCAGGGACTCCTAATATTTAATAGCTGCTTATTATCTCATTAAGCAGATTTATTATAATTAGCCAACTATTCCCCTATTGTTAAGAATCTTAGTTGCTTGTACTTTCTTGGCTATTATGGTGCTGCTGTGACCGTATGTAGAAAGAAATATAATAATGCTTTGCTTTAAATTATTTTCTTGTAAATTCTCAAAGGCGAGATTACTGAGTCGTATTTTTAAATAATTCTTAAATATATTTTGCCAATTTGTATTTGAAAGTCAATGTATATGGGTAACACTTTATCGTAGTCTCCTTAATGCTGGGTATTATTTTAAAATCTTTGTTAAAAGTTAAAAAGGATACTCTAAATTGAAATTCCTTTGATTATAGTGAAACTGTATATTTTTCTGTCTTTTTCAACAGTAATATCAAGTCAGTTGGTTGCCAGGCAAGTTCACAAAAAGGGGTTTCCATTTGTATAAGGTGGACTGGGTGTAGTTCACAGACTTACCTTACTGTATAAAAATCATGTATGCATATAGAAAGGCTAGAAAGAATCCTGGGGAAATGAGCAGTTGATAAATCATTCCAGAAAACCTTTATTCTAGTTTGGCATATGTTACAATTTATAGCCATTTGCCTTGCGTTTACAGGGGGATTTTGGCACTCAGAAAGAAGCTGCTTGGGCCATAAGTAACTTAACAATTAGTGGAAGGAAAGATCAAGTAAGTTCAGCTTTTTCTATTTCTAAAAATTGATAAAATAACTCTACAGTTAATTCTAAGATTTAGACTTAAGTAAATCTTAAAATAATAGCAAGATAACAGGCATTCTGTGATTCTCCCCTTCCCCACCCCACCCCACCCGCCATATGATAGCATCACCTTGAGTTCCTTTAGTCATATTGCATAGAAGAGACGTATTCTCTTTCCAACTTCTTGTTCTATAAGAATTTTCTAACCCAGGGTAAGATCAAGGCTCTTACAGTCAGGGTTGGTTTTTTCCTTGCTTGTTATTTTTTGTTTTGTTTTGTTTTTTTAAAAAAAAACAATATTAAGAAGGACTGGGACTTTTTATTTTAATATGGCAGAATGAGACTGCCTCACAAATTCTCCTAACAAATGAATGAAAATTTATAAAAAGGCAAACAAAAAATTCACCAGCAGCAAACCAAACAAGGAACTAAATTCAACCTGATGGCTGAGGGGCTGGAAACTAGGGGGAAGCATGTGAGGCACTTAGGGCATACGATTTAAAGAGGCGCTCATTCTCCGGGTCGTGCAGGTGATAAAGCTTACCATTGTACTAGCTGGCAAGGGAAAAATAGTTTTAAGAGGCCCAGATCTGTTTCACAGAGCAGGTTAAAAAAAAAAAGGGGGGGGGTGAATTTGGAGCTCAGAGACAGTACATTGCTAACTGTCAGAAAGAAGCTATGGACTGGTAGAGACAGGTGAACCCACTGAAGTATGAACATAGAGCAGACTATAAATGTAATTCATGGAAATAAAATTCATAACAGTATTACAATGACAGAAAAATATTATGAAAACAGTGGAATAAGGAATTGAAAGCTGGGTGGCATATGAGAGTGTTAATTATCCTTAACCTGTTACAGCAGAGAGCCAGTGGACTCTGTCAGATTGAAACATTGCAGTTTTTTGAAAATAATGTTCAGTTGCTTAATTGATTTCATAAACTCTGAATCTTAGAGGGGAAAGGATCTTTGAAGGAAGTATTCCTTCTGACAAAGAAATGTTTGCTGTGAAGTTGAGTGATTCCTTCATTTTTACTTTAGTTTCACTTTCTAAATTCAAGAAAAATAAACTTAGCTACATTAAAAAGAGGTTTAATTAATATGTAGTCTAATTTAATAACATACGAGAGATGAGGTCATATTTCCATCCTCAGATTTTCAAAACCAGAGTTACTTTAGTGGGATAGTGTGGTACACAAACCAAGTTTACTTACATTTATTATTTCATGGTGTTTTTATTCTTCAGGTGGCCTACCTTATCCAACAAAACGTTATCCCACCTTTTTGCAACTTGCTGACTGTAAAAGATGCACAGGTTGTGCAAGTAGTACTTGATGGACTAAGTAATATATTAAAAATGGCTGAAGATGAGGCAGAAACCATAGCCAATCTTATAGAAGAATGTGGAGGTAAGTTTAGTATACGCTCATTTTCCACATTTTAATGTTATTTTTGTAAACACTTTTATTTTCTGACTTATGTAGCATTTCTATATTTTTCTTAGATAATCAAGGTACAGATATTCTATATTCTGCGTGTACAGCCCTGCTCAGTTTTTTGCATATGCATGGGTAACTGAATTGCTGCTGTGTATTAAACAGGCACTGTGCTAAGGAACTGGAGAGATAGTGGTAAACAAGGCACAGTCCTTGCCCTCAAGTACTGTAGTCTAGTCATAGAGATAAGCAGGAACTGATTCAATGTGCTAATTACCCTAATAGAAATGTACAACAAAATGGGATATCTAATCCATCCTGGAAGAAGCAGGAAGTGACACCTTAGCTGGATTTTGAGAGATGAATAAGGATTAATAATGTAAAAAGGGATGAATGGTGTTCCAGGCAAAGATAACACCATGAGCAAAGTCTGAGGTGAGAAACAGCATTCAGCAAATTCTAAGTAGTTCAGTGTTGCTGAATCACAAAGTGTGGGATAGAAACTACCGAGAGATGAAGCTGGAGAAGTAGTAACCAGATCCCTGCAAAGTCTTACAGCCTTTGTAGCACTGCAGATACTTTATTGTGTAGGGCATAGTTCCCAAATCTGACTGTTACCAGAACCATCTGGAGTATAAAGAACAAGTATTAGCTACAACTCAAAATTAACATAGGAACAGAACGTGGTAGTGTCATCCAGTGTGGCTGTCAAACAGAATATAAATGTTACCAACCTTGGTAAATGTTGAAGGTATTTCTGACAAGTTGAGAAGGGAATGAAAGGAGAGAGCGCTAGAAGATTAGGAGAAGCAGTATCTTAACTTATTTAGTGGGGGAGTCAAGAGGCATGAAGATTAATGTAATAAGAAAGAGGTACACAGGCAGTCCCTGGGTTACGAACAAGATCCCTTCCTAACTGCGTCTTTAAGTCCAACTTGTAGGTAAGTCGGAACAGGTGCCTCCGGTTCTTATTAGCCTGACTTTAGTGCAAGAAGAGGCTCCAAGCTTTTCAGTGATTTAAAAGCTGCACGTGCAGCAAGTGAAGGTGACTGTCTTGAAGAATTTGTTTTGAGTTGGTTCAGTCATTTCAAAGTGAGGGCAAATTTACATAACATTAAAGGGCAAGTACAAGTGATCCCTAAGCTGGACGTCAGATGTTCGTATCTCGGGGACTGCCTTATTTAAATCTACTGAAGTGATGACTGAAGAACAAAAAAGAATAACTGTCAAGTTAGGTTCATAAGATAGAGAGTAAGTACAAGGAAAATTTAAAACGGGCATAGGTAAATATTAGTATTGCTAGTTTTTTTTTTATCATGTAAACATGCCTTAATTATTAAAATGTCTTTACATGTTAAAATCAAAATATGGGTTCTTAGCATTACCTGCCTCACGGGAGGTGGGGCCTAGGAATCTGTATTATATAAGCTCCCCCAGTGGATTCTGCCATAGGGTCAGACAGGCCATTGGAGGATTTTATATGTTCAGATGGAATATGGATATCAGGGAAATGGGGCCATTTGGAGACAGGAGATAGGGAGGCCTGTGAGGGAAATATATAGGGGTCAAGCCACACTAAATGAAGACAGCCATAATAGAGATTTAGGGGAGATGACAAGATTCAAGAAATGGATACACTGACATTTCTGAGATTTGACTGTAGAGTATTAGAGAAAATGAAACTTACTTAGCCTTTCTCTCAGATTTCAAGCTGTTATTATCACCAAGTAAGGATACAGGAGAAAAAAGAGTTTACATGAGGAAACACAAATAAAAGGAACTGCTTTGGACAGTTCTAGGTACTTGTGAAATGTCCTGATGGAATTATCACACAAACATTTGAATTGTATGCATCTGAAGCTCAGAAAGGAATTGTAGCTGTAGATGTGCAAGTCTTCAGCTTCTGTGTCGTAACTAACGTTCTTTAATGAAGGGTTTTACCAAGAGGAGAGAGTGTAGAGTGAGAAATGAGCCCAAGACAATTTCTTCCATTTAAGGACAGGATAGAGAAAAAAGACTTGCGAAGGGGCAATTTCACGTTATTTCAGAGACCTTGAAAGTAATTATTTACCCTTACAGAGCAAAGCAGGATTGAGCTTGCATGTCAGCAAGTATATATATATATTCTTTTTAATGTTTCTGCCTTTGATTTAATAAACTTATTAATGTTTACAGAGGAAATTTGCTTTTCCCCTGAAATACTGTGGTAGATCTTGATCATTAACAGATGTCTTAAGCATCATATTTATTAATCAACTGTACTTTTTAATGTTCCCCCACCCCCAGGGCATTCTCACTAGAAAAACTTGACAGATAATAGAAAGTAGAAAGAATTGAAGGAGGAGAAATTACCCGTAGTCCTGCAGTGCAAACCACTGTTGTTGTATCTTGCTAGTCTTTTTTTCTAAATGGTTGTAATCAAGCATATAGGGAGAATTTTATAATCTACTTTTTACTTTTAACAAATAAAAGCAACTCTACATGTTATTACCCTTTATAAACATTTGTTATATAATATTCTGTTGAACATGTCCCATTGCTTGCTTAAACGTTTACACACAGACCCTAAGGCTGTTAATTTTTTAAAATAATCAGCTTTATCTTTGTGCATGAAATGATTTTATATTTAAAAGTCATCTTTAGACTGTGTTCCCAAAAATTGGATTATGTGGTCATAAGATTATTGTAACATTTTTGCTGTTACTTTTCGAATGTTACCATTGTTTCACTTCATAAAATTTCTTACAGGACTGGAGAAAATTGAACAACTTCAAAATCATGAAAATGAAGACATCTACAAATTGGCCTATGAGATCATTGATCAGTTCTTCTCTTCAGATGATGTACTTAATAATTTTGTAGTGTTCTTAGTTTTATTTATAAAACCTAAGTCTGGATGAAATAATCTAGTAAGCTAGGATATACAGTATATATTTTTTTAAATGAAGTTAAAATAGCTATTGACAATAATGTCACTTGCTTCAGAAACTGATAAATATTTCAATATTTTAAAATCCCTTCAGGGCATTACAAAGTAGTATAAGCTCTAATAGTAAAAAGATGAGGATTTTTTTGACAGTGGGTAAATCAGGCTTTATTTGTACTTGATATCTTTATAGTTTTCATATGTTTTATTGTTAGTGGTATAATATATTTATAAACAGAACAGTGATACCAGTGTATCCTATAATAAATCCTTTATGAGAATAATTAGTTCAAGTACATTTGAATATAATGTCACAGTTATTTTTATTTGGTGACTAAATAGACAAAATGGAAACAATAAATCATCATAAAAATATAAAGTACTATTAAAGTTGTGTGTGTACACACACACAGAGTCATGTGCCGTATAACGTCCATTCGGGCAAAGTCCAACCACATATACGTCTGTGGTCTGGTGTGCACTGTCCGGGGCATGCCCACAGCCCGACTCGGCAGCAAGCCCACCCCGCTGCTCCTGGGTGGCCCAAGGTCAGCAGGCATCATGGGGCCTTGCCAGGACAGGGTGCCAGGTCGCTGAGACTGCTCCCCTGCTGCCCCAGCCCGCACCTGGAGCCTCCATGACCTTCATGGGGCCGCACACTGAGCAGGACCCAGCCAAGTGCTCACTCGAGGCATCTGCGGCAGGAGCTGCCCAGGCCTGTGCACCTGGGAGCCCCACGCCTGGGAGACCCAGGTGTTCGCACAACATCCAAATCACATAATGTCCCATTTCACAGAACGTATCATGGACATTAAGCGGTGCATGACTGTATACTCATCATGACAACAACAAAAAAGATAAGGCGCAATACAATGTAAGATAAAGTAAAGTACAATGTAAGATAAACTAAATATCTTCGGATTGTCCGTATATCATAGTTGGAATGATAGGATAATTTATTTTGAGTAGTACCTCTTTGGAAAAGTAAATCTAAAATGAAAGAAACTGTTATTTAGAAAATTATAATGGTTAGGTAGAACACCAGTGTATTTCCTTAATGATTTTCTCAGTTTTTCCGTGAAGCAGTTTTATATCACAAACTCTCCCACTCAAGAGTGATATGTTCTTAAACATTTTGTTAGATATGTATGATTGAACATTAGCCTAACAAGGACAGTACTAGAAAATAATAGACTACTTATTTACAGATGTCCAGCTAAGTCCTATTTACAATAGAATGCCAATTAAATAAACCAGAAAAAACAGTCTTCTAAGGATCACTTTGATAACATGTCTCAAAGTTGGATTTCTGGAGGTTCTAATTTGCAGATATAAGGCATTAGGATTTCTAATACCTCAACATGTAGTTCTGTGTTACTCTTATATTGTGAAAAGAATAATTCAGCTGGTATACATGGTTATAGGAACTGCACTGTAAGTTTATAATTTTTTGGTATTTCAAGAAAGGACCTTAGATATATTATTACAGCTATTATTTTACCATTTGTCTCCAATTGTTATTAAAAGATTTGCCAAATATTTCACTTACTCTCCGAAAGTGTTGGCGGTAATTTTTTTCAGTATCATCAACTATATCTACTTTCCAGGTACAAGGAAAACTAGTGAGTACCAGTATATACCCTCACATTTTGAGAACTAGGACCACCATCTCCAGTTTATTACTCCTATTTCATTATTTTGGAAGATAGCCATCTTGTATATTCTCTTAAATTTCCTTTTATTTTGGCTTCCCTCATAAAAAGCCTTTAAAAGTGTTTTAGTTTTCTAAAGGCATGATAGAACAGTGTTGTGATAGGAATATTACTATAATAATACTATTTATGTGTACTTTTAAATTAACCATGACTTCTTCTTTTTTCCCCTAGATTGATGAAGACCCTAGCCTTGTTCCAGAGGCAATACAAGGTGGAACATTTGGTTTCAATTCATCTGCCAATGTACCAACGGAAGGGTTCCAGTTTTAGAAAGATGTTGTGGAAGTTAGGTCCATGCAGCACTGAGATATATATATATACATATATATAAAAAGGTTTGATCCATCAAGCTTGTCTCATGGGATCTGCTGCTGCATTAAATCGGGAAAGCAAATGTGAAGATTTCATTTGGAATCACAGAAAATGCCCAAATGAGGTCAAGATGGCGAGTGGGTGCGAGTGAGAATGAGTGGCAGAATGTAACGAAAACTTTACACGAATGCTTATTTAGGTTGTTACAAGTAAAAAGGGCTACAGGTCACAGATCTTCAGTGCCTGAGAAGGAACATTGACTTACTGTGTATCAATTGAGGGGAAAGTGCAGTACTGTCATCTTCAAGCCTTGTAAGCATAAAAGAGAATAGGATGCCGTATAAGTCAAAGGAAAATGAGCCCAGGCCTTGCTGTGAAGCAATGTGTGAATGGACAATGTTGAATGAATGTCTGGCTCAGTGATGGAGAGCCAGGTTCATCTTTCAAATCTAGGGCTCTTCACTCCTGAAGCAGACTCCTAGACCTGGAGTGACTGTGTACGAGCGTATGGTTGTGGTGCTGTATGTGAACGCATGCAAGCTTGATTCGCCTCCAGGGGGCTGATAACAAACCTAGTAAATCATCAGAGTGAGATCCTAAGTGTTGATGTACACTGGACATGAAAACGAAGACCGATTTAGCAGCAGACGTCGGTTCACTCTGCAGCCTGTGTTTTCTATCCCTTCCCTCCCCTCTTCCCACCCCCTCCTCCCACCCCCCACCCCCCTTTTTTTTTTAGCCTTTATTTACTTTACCTAGTATGGCTTTTTAGTTGCTTCTCAAGTCAGAAAACTTTTCAGGAAGGTTTCCCTGTGCATTTGCACCAGATGAATGTTTGATGCTATGAAAAGCTTTCCATATCATCAAAACAAATTTGTGTAGATTTTTGCATGAAAAAAAATCATAAATTTCCCTCAAAATAGACTGTCGCGGTACACAAGTTGCCATAATAGTATAAAACAGTAAAATGTTCTTTAAAAGCCATCCGTTTCATTTTCAGAGATAACATAACGATCTTTGCATGAGGTGATTCTACAGCATAGTTCATTTTTAGATTTTGTTAAGTCCTGTAAAGAAGAAGAAGAAAAAAGTTTCAGTTGTGGTAGAATACCGTGCTGTGTTTAAATGTTACTTGTTTTCAAATTTTTGTTTTCTATGAAAATGATATGGAAACTTCTAAAATGGAATTTGGTGCATATGTACTGCTGAATAAAGACCGATGAAGAGGTTTGAGTAGATGTACAAATCAAGTAATGGTTTGAACACCTTTAATAATATGCCTAATCTGTTCAATTGTTTTAGAATCTTTTTATCTTAGATGTAGGCAGCCATGAACAATCTATTTTGAGCCACTTTAGGGAGAAAACTTTGTATTTTTAAAACTTGCATAAAAGTTATGCAAGTGGTTTTTATAAATTGGAATAATACCTCAGTTTTGAGGTTATGCACACTAAATTAAATGTGACATAAATTAATTTGTACAAAAAGAAGAACTCTTTATAAGGTGGCTCATTGTAGGAAATCCTGTGCCTTCCCCTTTGAGCACAAGTGTTGCATGAACAACAGTTTGCTATAAGAAACATACCAGATTAGCCACCATTAGCATCTATATCTACTTTGTGTTTAAAAATCAACTGGTAATTCTGAAACACTGTAGAATGGATAAAAATTATTTTGTGATCATAACTCTTTGTTGAACTAGAGTATTTTTGCAGCATTCCTTGTCATCAGAAACATGGTAAAAGTTTAAAACTAGAAGCAGCAGAAAACTAGCTTGTAAAATTTACCCAAGTAGAATGCAGGCTAGGCTGTCTTGGGGAAATAAACATTAAAACTTCAAGCAATGTTTTACATGAGGTGTGTGTGTGGTGTGTGGGTTTTTTATATTAATGTAAAGTTAGAGTATAATTCAATGACTTATGTTAGCGTCTTGTCTTCCATAAGCTTTTGACCTAAAACCTGCATAACAGAACAAATTTTAGAAGTTCTGTAATTTCATTATGGACAGAATAATATTCTAACCCACGGAATTTGTTCATTTGACACCATCTATGCTTCTGCTTTCTCCCTGTCCAGCCGAGGTTTTTGCCCTTCCTTTCCTCTTCCAGCAAAATGGATTGAGAGAGACAAAAGTTATTACCGTAACTTAACATATGGCTCCAAATGACTGCGTTACAAAGGATAGTTTTTACAGAAGGCTTAAGTTACCAGAAAGTGAACATAACAATACTTTGTATAATTCATTTTTTTTTTTTTTTTAATAAAAATCTGGGTAAAAATGAGCCATTGAGCTTATAATAGGCCAAATTATTTACTGGATTAGGTTCCCTTATATACATGATAGTTATGGCAATCTTAGCATCTCTGAGTACAAGGGCTACCCAAGAATCTAAATGTTTTTACCTGTGGTCTCACATCGACACCGATTTTCTAATAGAATGTTAGGAAGGGCTTTTCTCTGTCTGCAGTTCACTTCAGCTACCCACAGTTAACTGATTTTAACACAACTCTTTATTTTCCAATGATCTTAAACTGACTTTTTGGAGCATTGGGCCATTTTCCAGTGCTATAAAATAATACTATATTAGAAGTATGTGAATAGCCCTAGTCTAAGATAGTATCTTTAAAGATATTTCTAATTTTCAGAGATTCCAGTAATTGTGTGACATGGTGGAAGTAGTACTTTCCACATTGCTCTGGACCAAACCCAGAGCATCCCTTTAATTTAAGCTATCTAAATACATCTGGAAGATTTTTTGTCATTTAGTTCAGGCTTACCTCAATGACTGCAATTCATAGGTTGAGGCATTTTTGTATGTTTGTTTAAAGGTATAACTGCATTATGAGATGACTGCGTTTATTGCAGCATTAATTTGTGTGACACCCTTTTTGGATTCTCCATTGCCCCAGTTCTCTCAAGAAAAAAGAAATAAAGCTAAGGTTTGGCTTTAAAGACGAAAGAGGGAAGGATGTGTTAGTTTTCTATTGCTGTGTAACAGATTACCACAAACTTTAGTTACTTAAAACAACACATTGTTTCACAGTTTTCTTTGGTTCAGAGTCTGGGTACAGCTTAGCTAGGTCCTCTGCTTAGTGTCTCCCAAGGCTGCAATCAAAGTGTCAGTCAGAGCTACCGTCTTATCTGAGGTGCGAGGTCCTCTCCTGTCCTCGTGTGGGAGAATTCATGTAGCACTCATGGCAACTTGCTTCTTCAAAACCAGCGGTAGAACCTTTTTGATAGCAGGGAAGGCCCTAAACCCTCGTATAAAGGGCCCACCTGATTAGGTCAGGCCCAGCCAGGATAATCCCCCTTTTGATGAACTCAAAGCCAAAATTATTAAGGACCTTAATTACACCTGCAAAGTCCTTTACCTTTGCTATGTACTATAATCTATAACCTAATCATTAGAATGACGTCCATCTTCACAGATCCCACACACACTTAAACGGGGATTGTACAAAGTGTATACACTAGGGAATCTTGGGAGCCACCTTAGAGTTCTGCTTACCACAAGGGAGTATCAGTATTTAGAACTGGAGCATTTTAGAGGTGATCACTTAATAAAGTTTATTTTTGGATCAAGGATACCTATAAGAATGTTAAATGCTGGACAGCTTCCCCCAAAAGTGTACATACATGCAGTTTTCCATACAGTTTTTTTTGGAATCTTTAGGAGTCCCTGAATTTCCGAGTGCAAATGAATGATCTGCCCAACCCCCCTCCTCTTCAGATGACAGAGTTGCCAAGAGGTGACTTTCTGGAGATCACACTGCTAATAAGGGCCAGATAGGACCCTGAGCTCAACTCCTAAATCATGCTTGCTTCCAATTATTCTAAAACTAAGTTCATTTACATTTGTGAACCTATGCAAAAAATGTTTATTTAACTTTTCCTATCTGTCTTGTATATTGAGAAATGACTAATATAGGCACTTGCTTTCCTGAGAGTTTTGAGATTATTTGATTTCTCCTTTTTGAGAAATTATTTGACTTCTACAATATTGAATCATCCATTGTAGATATTAAGCAGGTGAACTGTAAACAGGCCAACATAGCTTTAATTAAAAACAATTATGAATTGTTAACTCCTAACTGATTAGGATCATTTACCTTAACTATAAAATCCATTGTTAACTATTTTGAAGGCTAGGATATCTGAGTATTCTTGAACCTTTTTTCTTGATTATTTACTCAGATGATTGGCAAAATTCATTAAATGTTAGCCAATAACTTAATATTACTAGGATGGGGAAATTTGCCCAGATAATTGATGCAATATTCCCAAACACTGTGCTAGCAAATTCATGCCTAACAAACTTGACATTTAAAATTTTTAAATGAGAAAATTTTTCTGAAAGTTTTAAATATTAATAAAGTGTGCTTTTTTAAAAATGTAAGTACAGTAATAAAGATTTTGCTTCATAAATGCCTTTAAGTCAATCAAGGTGCGACTTAATGGTCTTAGTGCCATCAGAATTAATTCAAAGGAATAAAGATAGAAAAAAAATTATTCATAAAGACTATATTCTAGTGTGATCAGCAGCAACTCTGGACTGCAATGTCACATTTCATATTAACTAGCACATCAATCATGGACAGGGAAGGTAGATTTTTTTTTTCCCCCTAAGAACTTATAATCTTGAATATTCTAACTCTAGGCTCTTTAGGTGACAGAAGTTTTGTTCAGAATATCCATGACTTGACGGCTGCTGCTTTGTGTACAAGAGCAGCTAAGTGTGAAGAAAAGTAAATATTGCTCCTACAGATGTTTCTGATCTACCTCCCACCAGAGGACTGCACCACTCCCTGGTTGTTGCGGATCCCTGCTGCAATTTCTGCCTTCTGCCCTCCACAGATTTTCTATCTTTTTAGCTCCAAATATGCTGCCTACTCCAGATTGCTTAGCTTTTCCAAACTATCAAGTCTGCCAGTCCTGCCGTTCGAAATTATTTGTGCTTTTCCTTTTGTACTCTTACCTCATCCAGATAGCTGATGGCTTCTTTGACTGTGGTTGCTACCAGTTGCTACTCCCTAACTTTACCCAAGATTTCTCCAGTCTGTTTCTACTCTTTCTTTGAAACAACTGTTACAAATTTCTAATCTGCTTAGATGTACGTGCTCCTCTTTAGTCTCAGTTATTAATGGTCATCATTCAGCCTTAATTTTTGTGGTGCGCTCAAGCTCCAGTTACCTGCCTTTGACGTAATTCCCTCAGTGTCCTTCCGTTCTGATTTTTGAACCCGTTAGCTGCCCTTCCCCCATCCTTTTTACATGGTTTTTGTTTGTTTGTTTGTTTGTTTACTCTTTGGCTACTATCAGTGATAATTTACAACTCTTAGACTTGACTTAGAAGAGTATTTCTCTTCTGGGAAGGGGCTCCACATTTTGGGTCATAATTGTGGGAGGATTCAAGATAACCTTATTTTCTCTCCTGCTGTATTACCATACTTCTCTCTTGTTTCTTCGGGGGTATCACCTGTTGAGCTCATTAACATAAAACTTACCTATTACCTGTTCTTGGTGTTTTCCAATCCAGCCATTTCCTTTTGTACCCACAGATACACTGGCTCCATAAACAGGTTGTATATTCTGCTTCAAATCCAGTGCGTCTCAGCAATTCAAG